AAAAATTAAATTGCTTACTCATTTGATTTGAATTCAAAAATCCCTAAAATCCAACATATTAACTTCGATAATACAACAATGAAACCCCAAAATCTAAAATAATTTCAATTATCTAATTAAAATTCAAAAACCCTAAAATCAAAAAAATTAATCAAACAATTCCCCACCCAGCCCGACAGCCACTCCCCAGCCCAGCCCCGACAGCCACCCCCTCCCCCTGCACCACCACCGAAACCACCCTCCTTCCAGAGCCACATGAGCGCAATACACCCCCCGCCCCAGCCCCACCAACGAAACCGCCCAAAACTTGAATTGCCCAACCCGATACCACCCTAAACTCCCATCCCTTTCCCCACCCGAAACCCCCACCCCTTTCCCTGACCCGAAACCGCCGTAGACTCGAAACCCCTACCCCTGAAACCCCACCCCTCGGAATTTGTGAATTTGTGTTTTTCCTATAAATAAAATAAATAAACTACAATTCACAAATCTCAATTGACCAATAACCAATAGTTCAATTATCCAACTTCGAAGAACCCTAAATTGAGTATATACTGACAATTAAATACACGATTAACACTAGATTGTCAAAATTAATATTAGATGATTAAAGAAAAAGAAGCATCTAACCTTAGAGACTGCTTTAATGGAGGAGAGAAAGCTCAGAAGCCGGAGAATTTCGAGTACGCTTCAATGGAGGAGAGAGAGAAGGAGGAGTACAGCGAGAAAGCGCAAAGCGTGAAATAGATCTAAAGGGGAAAAAAGAAAATAAGATCAGGAATTCTGTGTCCGTTAGTAAATTTTTTTTTTTTAATAAAATAACACTGTGTCCTGGACCCCACAATAACTACATGTGGGTCCATCACTGGGTGGAGATGAGTCGGTGAAGTGAAGCCAACTTTTTTTTTTTTTTTTTTTTTTTTGCCAGAACATGTTTGTATACGACGTATTTTTTAAGTTTTAACTACTCACAAATTTTCATTTTAGTTGTATGATTTTGCTCTCTCTCCTTCTGTGTTTTTATACGTATTACACTAAAACTGATATATAATTTTCGGTAATTTAATTAACTTAAATAAATTAAGAGGTACTTAAATGGAGTGGTTGGAGTATCAAAAAATAGTTAAAATAACACTATGTTCTGAACCCCACAATGACTACATGTGGGTCCGTCACTGGATGGGGATGGGTAGGTGAAGTGAAGCCAACATTTTTTTTTTTTGGCCATAACATGTTTGTATACGACGTACTTTTTAAGTTTTAACTACTCACAAATTTTCATTTTAGCTGTATGGTTTTGCTCTGTCTCTCCATCTGCGTTTTTATACATATTACACTTAAACTGGCATATAATTTTCGGTAATTTAATTGACTTAAATAAATTAAGAGGTACTTAAATGGGGTGGTTGGAGTATCAAAAATAGTTAAAAAAAAAATAGTAGGGTTGATACATTATTGAAAAATTAATGCTTACAAGAGAAAAGAAATAATAAAAAAGTAATAGTGGATTTGAGTGGGGACAAAAAAAAGGACAAAAGTATATATTAAAATGTAGTTTTTTGCCAAAAATAAAGTGAAACACTTGTTAAAATACAGTCATATTTCGTAAGTGTATCACTCATTAAAATACAAATGAAGTATATTTTTTTATCGTAGTGTGGGTTTAAGGTTTAGGGTTCAGGGCTTTAGGCTTTAGGCTTTAGGGTTCAGGGTTTAGGGTTCATGATATAAAACTAGGGATTTTTTAATTTGAAAAAACAAAGTTGATTTTTCCTTAAAGTATACTTTGTAGGTCCTAAATCAAAATGGCGCCATTACGAGCCCATATCTTCTACTACGTAGATTGTTTAAGGTTTTAGGGTGATTCCTTCACGAAAGTTTTTCGTGATATAAATCCCGATCTTCTTAGAATTTGAAAAATGAAAGTTCATTTTTCCTTAAATTAGAGGTCTTAAATCGAAATGCCGAAATCGCGAGCCCATAACTGTTAGATCGTTAAAATGTTTGTTGTGGAAATGTCAGCTAGAAACTGCTACCTAATGAAGAAAGGGATTGAGTCAAAAGCCCATTTTCCCTTAGCACATGGGCATAATTGTCTTTTTGAGGGGCAAATGATTCAGGTAATATATACCCATACCTTTTAAACAAATCACGAAAGGACACGAAAATTTATCAGAAAAAACCATATAAATTTTTTATTTTGTGAGAAAACAACACCTTATAAATATTTTTTTTTTGCGAGATGAAACCTTAAACTTAGACTTTTTTGCAAGATAAAACCCCAGGCGAGTTTTCTAGCATTGACTGCAATTTTAGCGGCATGGACCATATACCCTAATCAATGTAATTAAATTAATAAACCAAGTTTTAAAGTCCATTATTAGAGCTTATTCAAGGTTTAGGGTTGGTTTGGTGGAAGAAGAAAATGGAATTTGAGGGTTGGCTTATTTAAGGTTAGGTTAATTAATTAGTTAATTATTTAAGGTTAGGTGATATACATGTTTTATGCTATGTTTTTCCCCGGTTTTACTAAGTGATTTTATTTGGTTTTGAGCTCTATGGAGCCATTTCTTGCTAACAATCTCTTCTTTAGTGTATTTGGTTGTTTTAGTAAGCTTTTCAGGAATGTGAAGCGTTTCTAGGCAATCGGACGTGTTTTCAGTAGATTCGGAAGAGTTGATAGCTGAGAAATGCAATTTTTCTTCTTCGCCCGGTCAGATCGGGCAATGTCCAAGGTTCGCCCGGGCAAAATCCGCCCGACCGGGCGAGGTTCGCCCGGGCAATGAAGAGCAAGAAATCAAAGTCTTGAAGATTGCAATTCTAGAAATGTGCTACGCGCGCCCGACCGGGTGAGGTTCGCCCGGTCTGATCGGGTAAAGAAGGAAAAGCGTCGTACTTTACGCAGCCTTCCTCCGCCCGATCAGGCGAGGTCCGCCCGGGCAGACCGGGCAATGCTCAAGAACGTGTAATTTGATAGTTTTCCGAAATTCTATCTTTTGTGGGTATAAATACCCATTGTTATCATTAGTTTAAAGTAAGTTTTTCATTAGTTTTATTTTCCCTAGCCTTAGAAACACTTTTAAACCCTAGTTTATTTTATTTAGGCATTTTAATTCTTATCCTAGATTTGTTAATTGTTCTTCAAGAATTCAAGTTCTTCAATTGGAGTATTTGATATTTATTTTATCTCTTTCTCTTTATTATTCATTGTTCTTTAATTATGTTTTCTTTATTGTTTCTTGATCTTGATTTCGATTTCGTTATTATGTGTGAGTAGTTCCTTAATCCGGGATCTTGCTAAGCCCGATTATGATTGATGTATAAAGTAGATCTTTAAATTCCCCAATAATAATCCCAATTGACATGCTTAATTGATTGTGTTCATGCCAATGCTAGATTAGGGATAATTAGTATTGTTATTATCCCATTGTTATTAGATCAACGGAAGTTGGGTGATAACGAGATTAGATTATTTCAATTAAGGGTTTGAAGATCATCACAGAAGTAGATGATTGAATAATTAGGAATCTAGGCGTGGTGTTTAATGTCCCTTATTCGCTTGATTACACGGAAGTAGGTTTGATTGTTAATTTGGGAAGCCATTGATAACTCGGAAGAGACCTTTGGTATTATTAGGGATTGCCTTTCTTCTTGTCAATTGATTTATATATTGGGGGTAGATTTATTAGTTATCGATCATAAACGTGGTGATGCTTGATCTTGGATGTCTTAGTCTATTGATTACATCTTTGATAGTTTAATTACGTTATTTAATATCTTAGTTGATTATTATCATCCATTATTGATTGGTCACGTGCTTATTGATTACTTGAGTCTGATTAATTGAGTGAACCATAGTCTCTTGGGATTCGATCCTTACTTGCCCTGCTACATAGTTAGATTGAATAGTTAGGTTATTTTTGTTAGGTACGCGATAAGCCTATCAAATTTTGGCGCCGCCGCCGGGGACTAACGGTTTCATTTTAATTATTCGTGATTCGTTTTTACTAAGCTTTTGATTTGTTGCTTCGGCTATTGTCCCTTGTATTTTTTATCTCCTCTTTTTAGTTCTTTGTTGTATGCAAACTCGACATTCAGGTTTAAATAGCTACTGCAAGGAAACGAAGAGGTAGAAGAAGGAGATATCAAAATACAAGTAAAATGACCGAAAGAATCAAATCTTTATTGGAGTACGGCATTCCTGATACCACAACCGGGCTCCTATCTAGCATTGTCAGACCACCTATTACCGCTCAGAGCTTTGAATTAAAACCTCAATTCATACAATTCATCTCCAATGACTCATTTGCAGGCACACCTCATGAATGCCCTGTTAGTCACATAGACAGTTTCTTGGAGAAGTGTGACACCATAAAGCTCAACGGTGTTCCTGATGATGCTATCAGACTTCGTTTATTCCCTTTTTCACTACGGGATAGAGCGAAAGAATGGTTCCGAGACGAAGGTATAGGTTCCTTTGATACATGGGATAAGCTTGCCAAAGCTTTCTTAGTAAGATTTTTAGGGCAAGAGAAGACTGCAAGGTTAAGGAACGCGCTAGCTACTTTTCGTCAATCTGATGATGAGTCTTTATATGAGGCATGGAGAAGATTCAAGCGCTTACAGAGACAATGCCCTCATCACGGTATCCTAGAGTGGATATTGATCCAAACATTCTACAATGGTCTAACCCACGAGTTCCGCATATACATTGATGCCGCATCCGGGGGTTCTATCATGACTAAGAACCCAACTGAAGCCAAAGAGCTAATTGAGAAGATGGCAGCCAATGATAATTATCATCCAGGGGCAGAAATACTGTGAAGACTAGAGGAAAATTTGATGTTGATGCTTTAACTCTCTTGACAAGTTCTGTACAAGCATTAACAAGCAAGTTTGATAAACTCCAAGCTGGATCCTCTTCCACTTCATTCGAAACATGTCAATTATGTGGTATTCAAGGCCACATTGCATCACAATGTCAACCTCCCTCTGACGAAATGTCAATCGAGCAAGTAAATTCCTTCTATACTACGGCACCTAAAAGGCTATATGATCCTCATTCAAACACATACAATGAAGGGTGGAGAAATCATCCGAACCTCTCTTACAAGAACACTCAAGCTCAATTGAATTCTCCGTCACCACCACCTACCTTTCAAGCAAGGGAATCTTTTAATCACCAACCCATGAATCACCAACTGCCATCGCAAACTTCAAAATACGATCTTGATTCATTTATGGAGACTTTCACTACTTCCCAACTTCGACAGCAAGAGCTTATGACAAAGCAATTTGAGCTACAAGCAAAGCAAAATGAACACTTTGAAAGCTCGATTCAAATGCTTATTGCTCAAAACAAGAGGATAGAAACTCACCTTTATCAACTTTCACAACAAGTGAGTCATTTATCAACTCTTCATGATCAAGCAAAAGTCCAAAAGGAACAATGCAATGCAGTTTTCTTGAGAAGAGATGAATTATTTTCGAGGAAAATAGATGAGAAAGTGTGCAGTGTGGAGTCAATAAAAGGTGAAAAATGTGAAAATGAAAAAAGTTCCAAATATGTTGCTCCACTGGCCTATGAGGAACCGATGCCCTTCCCACAAAGGTTGTCAAAAGCCGTGCTCGATAAACATTTTGGGAAATATTGCGAAACTCTTAAGAAGGTATATGCTTCAATTCCTTTTTCTGATCTTTTAATTCAAATGCCTCAATTCGCAAAATTTGTGAAGGAAATTAAAGATCAACATGATGATAAGGAAGTAGTAAATGAGAAATGCTCTACTCTTTTACGTGATAGCCTACCATCTAAGCTGTAAGATCCTGGTATTTTTACTATTCCCTGTATGATAAACGAAATATATTTCGATAGGGTTTTGTGTGATTTAGGTGCTAGTGTTAATTTAATGCCTTATTCATTATATGAAAAATTAGGTTTGCAAAAACTTAAACCTTCCCCTATTTCTCTTCAAATGGCTGATAGGACTGCTAGACTCCCTAAGGGTGTGGTTGAAGATGTATTAGTTAAAGTTGGTGAACTTGTTTTTCCTGTTGATTTTGTCGTTATGGATATGAAAGAAGACCATAAGATCCCGATTATATTTGGCCGTCCATTCCTTGCCACAAGTCAAGCTCTAATAGATTTTCCTAAAAGACAAGTGACCATTAGGGCCCAGGATAAACAAGTAGTGTTTAAGCTCTTTAATGAACATAATTTTATATTTGATGGTGGTACTTGTTTAAGAATCGATGCTACTAACCCTTTGGTTGATAAGTGTGTATTTGATATAATTCTTGTGAGAAACGAGGACAATATTCCACCAAATGATGTGTTTAGCTACATGAAAGTAAGTTCGGATACAAAGCATGTCAAATATAAAATGAAGGAGTCAGTTGGAGGGGGATATTTTCATGGGCAACATCGCGGAGTTTCTTCTTTGTGTGGTGACCCAGGTTGAGCTAATAAAAGAAGGTCAAGATTAAGACTTTAAAAAAGCGCTTCGCGGGAGGCTACCCGTATTTTATTGTTTTTTTTTATTATTTAGTCTTTTCTAAATTTTAAATTTTTTTTATTATTTTTTTATTTTTTTATTTTTTTTTATTTTAGAGAGGTAAGGAGAGTATATCTTATGCTAGTGGGAGTTTCTATTTGTGTAGGTTTTGATCTAGAAAGGTTTCGATTTAAAAGGAGAAGAAAGCTGGATTGTATTCGGGTTCGCTCGGGCAGAGCTCGCCCGATCGGGCGCGCGTACGGATCAGCAAAACTGCTCAAGTTCGACAGGCCGTAACTTTGCTTTTCTTATCGGATTTTTGTGTGTGACCTATCGTTGGAAAGATCTTCAAGTCTACTTTCTAACCCAATTAGAATCATTTCATTATCATTTATAAATCAAAAGTTATGATCAGAATAGTGCACATGACTCACCTTTTTATCTTTTTCCCACTAACACTCTGTTTCATTCTTGCCCAAAATTTGTTCCAAAGAGATGCATTGCAACCCTCTAGGCTTTGGTGACATTGATGTGGTGATGATGATGAGTAGTAGTCACCATTGACTACTAGTTTCCCTTTAAGACAATGAGGACATTGTCTGATTTTGGCTTGGGGGAGATTTTTGGATTAAGGCATCTTTCTTTTCTCTCTCCTTTTGTTTTTGATGTGTTTTAGTTTAGTTTTTTTACTTTCATAGTATAGATTTTATTGCTTTCTAGGTTTATTTCAATGCTTTCAAAAAAAATAAGAATACGAGAATCATGATAATGAATGGCCAGTAAACTACTTCCTTGTGCCCTTATCCTTGATGTAAAAGGTTTTTGGCTTGATTTTGAATGAAAAGCTTACATTGCAATCTAGATGACCATGATTTGATTTTAAATTGTCTTGATATCTATTAGAAGTCGACTTTGTTGATCATGCATGAATTTGGAACTTGACTGTGTTAGCTGTGAGGCTTAAGCCTTAATTGTTTTTCATGAGTGTTTAGTTCCTGGTGTGATATTGATTCTTAGTTTTGGCTTTAGACTTCTAAGTAGTGTGTCATAATACATTGCACATGTACGTTGGAAAGGACGAAGGCCATGTTCTTAAGGTAGCCTTCAGATGCTTTTAGAAACATTTGTTCCTTTCTTGCTCACCCATGTTGTAGCCTTGACCATATTTTTCATGAAAGTCATAAATTAACCCCTTGACCTCAATTTGGTTATTTTTCCCAATCCTAGCTTGGGGGAGCTTTGATTATGTTGGTGTTGATTTGTTGTTTTATGAAAAAGAGAAAAAAGATCAAAAATTGGTTTTCGATGTGGAGAGCCACGAAAATGGTTTGAGAAAGAAGGATTCATAAAAAATGAAGGTTAATGAAAAAAAAGAACGAAAAAAAAGAGAGGAAATTTAAAGAAAAATTCTGAAAATGCAGAAAATTGAAAGCATGAACTCTCTTTGAAAAATGAAAAGAAGAACAACAAATTGAGAAGTAGAAGTGTGTTTTAAGTTGTGTTTGGGATTTTGTTCTCATTGTTGATGAAAGATAGATTGTGGATGTTGTTTAACTATGTTTGATAGCTTCCCGGTTAGACTTTTGATTACCTACATTCCCCAAATTTATATCCTACCCACTTTTACCCGGCCTACGTTACAAGCTTGAAAAAGACCTTCCGATCTTCGTGCATGGTATTGTGTATATGTGAATTGAGTCTTTTGTCAAAATGCTGGAATATTTATCGCATTTCGAGTCGACATTTGACTAGGTTGAGCGTTAATATGACCCTTTAAACACGCGAGTGTTATGAGATGGGGGGTTCTTGATTATTGGTGGGGATGGAGAGAGATCGAGCTCATCTTAAGCTTGCCACATAAAATTGTGCGGAGTGACCACCAAGAGAGATATTCTAGTCATTGATTCTTGAGTTATGCATGGTTGATTTGGTTTGACAACTTCTTAGGTTGATAGATGGTTTAAATGATTTGATTGGTTAGATAGGATGCATGTTTGTTTGATTTCGACTTTGAGTTCGTTGTTTTAAAAATGCATCATGGGGTGAAGTATGTTGCCCAGTTATTTGTTGTTTTTGATTGCCTTGCTTGAGGACAAGCAAGAAGTTAGCTTGGGGGAATTTGATATACATGTTTTATGCTATGTTTTTCCCCGGTTTTACTAAGTGATTTTATTTGGTTTTGAGCTCTACGGAGCCATTTCTTGCTAACAATCTCTTCTTTAGTGTATTTGGTTGTTTTAGTAAGCTTTTCAGGAATGTGAAGCGTTTCTAGGCAATCGGACGTGTTTTCAGTAGATTCGGAAGAGTTGATAGCCGAGAAATGCAATTTTTCTTCTTCGCCCGGTCAGACCGGGCAATGTCCAAGGTTCGCCCGGGCAAAATCCGCCCGACCGGGCGAGGTTCGCCCGGGCAATGAAGAGCAAGAAATCAAAGTCTTGAAGATTGCAATTCTAGAAATGTGCTACGCGCGCCCGACCGGGCGAGATTCCCCGGTCTGATCGGGCAAAGAAGGAAAAGCGCCGTACTTTACGCAGCCTTCCTCCGCCCGATCAGGCGAGGTCCGCCCGGGCAGACCGGGCAATGCTCAAGAACGTGTAATTTGATAGTTTTCCGAAATTCTATCTTTTGTGGGTATAAATACCCATTGTTATCATTAGTTTAAAGTAAGTTTTTCATTAGTTTTATTTTCGCTAGCCTTAGAAACACTTTTATTGTAATCTGTTGGTAAACTTTGTTGATAATGTTGGCACCTTCTTAAAAGTGGCACAAACTAAATAATTAGAACCATGGGTGTCCTGGCTATGTGGGTATGCATAATTATGGCATGTATTCTTTTTCTTTAAGTTGCTTGTAATATACAATGCACCTCCACTATTTCAAATATTTACTAAGTTACAGTTTAAAAATGAAAGAATAGCCATAAATATTAGCTGTTTTAGGGCATCTTCCTTTCACTTGTTCATAAATTGAGCCTAGCTACACATTTTTTGTTGAGGTCAACTTTAGCAAACGTCTTTGAACAAAGTAGAATCTTTAAGGAATAAAGCAGTTGGAGCAATTAAGGTATATAGAGAAATTAATCGTAGCTTAGCGGTGCATATTTTGAATTGCAGGGTTTGCAAATTATTTCAATGTACTTAGGTTGTTGGAAAAATTCCCTTCTTATAAATATAAATATGACATGTCGAGACATAGACAAATTATTGATCTCTAGGTGTATTGTTAATACAAAGATGTGTTTGTTGCTTTGAAATAAGGACGGTTTTGATTGTAATCTGTTGGTAAACTTTGTTGATGTTGCTTTATGCATTATGAATTAGTCCCCATATTATAAGTTGTGTCATGTTCTTTAATTCCTTTTTATTAATAAATTGTTACACAATAGCTTAAGAGCATGATGTTTTAAGAACCTTAACTCCTTAAGTCTCTTTTATTATGCAGATGAAAACCTCTTGTTTCTTATTTATTTATTTATTCTTTACAGGTTATTTTTCTTAACATGTGTTTTTTAAATGACATTGTTTACTTATTTGCAGTTAAGAAGGGGCATACCCTTGGGTTGCAAAGGCCCTTTTTAGCATTTTGGGAAAGCCTTAGTTACCCTTATACTGTATGCAGAATATTTTCAAGACAACATTATAGGTTTTACCCGGAATATGAGTAGGATATTTTGATATGGAACAAGTCATCTTGGTATCTAAAATTTGAAGTATGATAGAAGTGCACTGAATAGGGTTTGAGTTTCTATTTTCTTGATTGCTATTGTTTGCAAGGACTTTTTGCCTCCTGGTTGTATTCTTCTTTCTTCTTCTAAATAATATGTTTCTTGTCTAAAGTAGTCTGTCTAATGGCTACTCATGGAGCATCAATCGGCTTATTTGTAACTGGAAAACATATGCCACACTGATGGAAGAGATAAAACATACTCCCTTGTGAAAATATACAGTATCATTTGTTAAGAATATCTTTTATTGTTTGTACTTGCAACCATCTTCTATATATACTTGTTCACTTTCTATTTCCAACACAACATGCTCATTTCTTATGCTAAATGTTAGTTTGTTGTCAAAATTTTGTATTTTGCTTTATCAATTTAAACCTGGGCCAAGTCCGTCTAACCATGTTCTTTTGAAACTTGGAGTCTGATAAGGTTATGAGGGGTACTAAAGACTAACAATCTTCATTTATAATGATCAGAATGTTGTATTCACAATTGTTATTTGTATTGCCATCCCTAATTTATTTTGCGATTAAGGCTTTGTTGTTGTTGTATTGCCATCCCTAATGTGAACATAACTTCTGGTTTCCTTTTTCTTTAATTAATTTTACTGCTTGTAGAATGGAAATTCTGAAAGTGTATATTGGAAGCCTGAAAATTTGGTATATTTAATATCTATAGGCTTGGCAAAAGCACAAGGAGAATTTGATTTTGATGGAAATATATCACTACTTCTCCTCTAGCTGTCGCCAATTTGGGTCGTTATCAGAGTTGAAAGGTGATGAGAATGAGGCAGGTGGAGCACTTGCAACTGTTCTAGGAGTCCTGAAAAGCATTCATGAAAAATTCTTTGATCCTGTAAGCATTTTTGTTTTACTGTTTATAGTTGCTTGTTTTATCTACTTGAATGTGCTTAATGACATAATATCTTGTAATTTTCTTGTAGGAACATGGAGATGACTTTGCTGCAAGGGATGTGAGACAGGTGAAATCCTATTTTGTGTTATGTGCCTCTTCTGTTTTGATTTTGTTCAGGGGTTTATATATTATGCTAATTGGCTATTGATGTAAGCTGTTATGTGAAAACCATTATTCTTTTCGTGTTTCTAATTTTACTTGTCTTGTGCTTTTCTCCCTTGCATATGCATGTGGTGGTGGCAGCATGGCAAAGATCTATTCTGCTAAGCGCCTAAGCTGTTGTAATTATGTGCGGACTTTGCACTTTAACTATATGTTTTTTGGTTTTAGGGTCAATGTAGATTGTTTTGACAATGAGCTTAAACATGTTGCTTTACAAGGTTCTTTTTTTTTTTTTTTTTTTTTTTTTTGGGGGTGGGGGTTTAAGTGCAGAGGGAGATATGAATTGTCTTGTCTTCAGTTTTGAGTATATCCTAGCAGATATTGGTTGTAAGTAATTAATACTCTCTTCGCGTCAAATTACTTACAAATCAAGTGCGTGCTAGCTAAAAAGCTCATCTGCTTGAGCTTGCTAGTATGCTTGGCTGCTTGCTGAATTGCACTACCTAGCTTGATTTTTAACCCTGCCAAGTCAATGAGATGATGTACCTGATTATTAGTATCGTTCCTCAAATACAAAGACTATTTCATGCAATGAAGCATTTGTATCCTATTTCTCTGCATCATGTATAGTAGAGCTGTATAGTAGAGCATCGTTTCTGATTCTGTTGGATCTTTTACTGTATGTAAGGTGTATAGTCAGATTGGAGTTGAAGTAACTTCAATCCATGTGGGAATGGATTGCATCACTACTTATTGGCATAATAGCAGGTGAATTGTCAGAATGTTTTTAGTTTCATAGGTGTGAGACTCAATATTCCCTTTTTTCCCCTTTTCTACATTTCCTTTTGCGTGTTATGAGGTAAGATGGATCTTATGTTTTTTGCAATTGTGTAGTAGAGGGTGAGATTGAACTGTTGATGTTGGCAAGATAAGTGAGTTTGATTTTCAGTACTTGTTGTTTTACTGGGATATCATTGAGGTGCATTGGCTGGCACTGGTTGGTTAATGTAACCGGAGTAAGATTAATGCCATCAGCGTAAATTGATAAACAAGAGACAATCTTATTGCCAGTGTTCAGCGTTCTGCCACTGTATGCCTTTTTTTGGCAACCTTGGACTCAGTCTACACATCTCTTCATAGTGCATCAGCACCATGGCTTCACCTTGTTTGAATTTGATTTTCCTGTTTAGTACTCTCACCATCCCTTTATCTTTGCAATGATTCGATTTTTGTTAGTCTAACCTTGTTACTCTAAATTATATATTTCA